TCCAATTCATACCCTTTTTTGGTTGTAGCTTCTGTAGCCATCCTTGAGATTCCTGATTGCCGAATGTTTTGTAAACTAAACTGTGTGGGATAGGGCTAATTGTCAAGAGAGCGCCATAATCTGGAATATGTTCCATGGCATGCACATCTGGCATGCCAATCACTTTTTGCAGTAAAGTTTGCTACGAGGAAAGAGGTTTTAGGTTTTCAGACTACGACATCAATGACATCATTGAGGAGTGTTCGGTAGGCTGTACTTTAAATTTCGATTTCAAATTGTTGGAAACTGATCTTACTTCTTTACTGATCATTCTACTAACCTCCAAATTGAGGTCTCGCTAAAGATCAGTCTCCAATCCATCCCCCTATAGTGTCTGCAATTTCTGACGTCCACTCCAGCAACAAAGCGAGGGCATCAGGACTTTGGCTAGATTAAATTGGATCCATTTACTACTACTACTACAACCATTACTACTACTATTACTACTGATACTATCACCACCACTAGGAGCAGTCAGAAGGGTTTGATGGTAGGAGCACTTGCAGGAGTTAAAAAGTTGTAGTGATAAATGCATTAAAAAAATATCGTTTCACTATTAAAATGGCCAATTAACTTTCACTTAATACAATAAATTAGTGCCCAACTCATAATTCTCCTGAATAGAGTCCACTTTCACTTATTGCAAGCAGCTCATTTCTCCAGCAGTACTTTTGGCTCTCTCAAATCGGATGTAAAGTTTCACTAGGAGAGTAAGTTTAATTTCCAATCCACTTAGCAATTAAAATCCTCGCATTGGACGAACCATGCCAACTTCCTGCATTTCTTAACCGTAATGCTCTGTATTTACCTCCAATTAAGTACCTCATTATGGGTGAGCAAAGCCGAAAGAGATGGTAAAATGGGTAAAATAACCCCAGAACTTTGTACGATAATGCTAGTGGTCTAATAGACGTGTAATTAGTAAATTATGATAGCCTACACAAATATTTTTAGATCATGGTAACTACAATTTGTCCAGTGATAGCTCGAAGGAACGCATTGAAGAAGGACATAAATACATTTGACATTTTGATTGTCAGCAGCAGCTGTTTTTAAAAAGCAACTTTATTATTTTCTTTGAAAGGATCGTTGGTGAAGAGATGGTGTTATTACCTGTTATGTGTTTGCATGAGCACGGTCACTGGTCAAGATCCCAACCAGAGGAGCTAGGAGATGAAGACTTCAGTGTGGAGATCATTAATGCCAACAAGGTGGGTACACTGGCAGCACGGCGATTGCATTCGAGATTGCTGACTAGATCGACCACCATAGTTGCCGGTCATCATTCTCACGTATTTGTACTACTTTGTATTACTTGTAGGATGTACCTCTGCTGCGTATCAGTTAAAAAATTTAACGTTAGTGCAAATATGGATCTGGTCTAAATTATTAAGGAATTATACTTCCGAAAACAAACTTTAGAAGGTCAAAATGGGAACATTTTTTTAGGATTTTAAAGATCTCTAACTAGTGATAGATGCAGAATAAATAGATGGATATGGGATGGATGGATGGATGGATGAATAAATTCAGAATAGATGAATAAAAGGATAGAAGGTGGACAAATAGATTAACTCAAGAATGAAGAAAAACGCCACCTGGACTCATGCTGAAGCACATAGATTGCGTACCACTTCAAATCCATGGCCATCAATCATAGCTAAAATTTCAGCCCAACGTTTTCCTGTCTTTGTAAACCAATTAGCTGCTCGGACAAGGGCTCTTTTAAACTTCTATATCAAAATTAGTTGCCTCACTTTCTGTATGACTGCCCTCAGTTCCCATCTTCACTTTCGTGGACTTACTTCCAAACTACCGCGCATTCAAAGCGCTCTGAACTCGTTAAGCCAATGGGGCAATTTTTGTCCTCCGATTCGCCCACAGACGACTAGACAAAGGAGTTTGGAAGGAGAAATTGAATTTTTGTAATTTTTATTTAGGTTGAGAAAACCAAATTGTTGCGCATTAAGATACCTGACGTCATAGCATTTGACGGTTTGATGGCTCAAAGCTATGAGTAGTTTACAAGATAACATCAAACAGCCTTCAGAAAATTGTTTAAAATAAAATCTTTTAATGGTATTGACATGCTACTTAATACCTCCTAAGTCGAAAATAAGTAGTCTCGAGAAGACTAAAGTTTCCTTAAGTGTGACTTCTTTTCCTTCGAAAGGCAAAAGAAAAATCTTTTTAAGTAAAATTAATGAAACTAGTAAATATATAAAAAATCCACTTTTTTTCTGTGAAATACAATCAAACCATATTTGGTAGTACACATAGCTTAATAGCCATATTGGCATGTAAAGATGACAAACGAACTCATGTAGAATGCCCTACGGGGTTCCAGCATTTGTTTACTAGAGCGAACCTTGGGGATTACCATGTTAAAACAGCTTGGGTGTAATTTACACCGAAGGCAGGCTCGCGTTTTTAGCGCCTTCTGCGTAGGATTGGAATGCAACAGCAGTGTGTAAGTGTGTGTGGGTATATGTTTTTGCCCCACGCTCTCCTAATGGAGACCCGTGGTACGTGAACAGTACAAGAGGACTGCTGCTTTCATGCACATAGCTTAGAACCCTTGTAAGAGATATAATACCTCACCTTCCTTCTCTGTCGCGTTGAAAACTCTTCCCCAATGATTTGAATTTACGCCTAGGTATTCAGATCACCACTAATGGAACATCCTTGTCTGTCAATCGTAGGGGTGATCTAGGCTAACTTTAACCACTTTTATAAACCCTCTTCTCCTATTGTTCTTTCTACGTGAATTTGATTGGATTTAGTGGTCATATAGTCCGAAATGTGAGGTAGGGGCGAGGAGGAGGGGGAAATAGTCATTGATATTTTGATCTTAAAAGGGAGCATTTCTTCATCACCTTCCTAAGGATTTGACAGATAGATGAATCTCCCCACCTCTTGACAGCTGACCTGAGAAGCAAAATATGCATCTGGGGAGAAAAGGCAGATGTAGGGGAAAGTGTCATCATATAACTAAAAACAATCATTCTGAAGTGGAATAAGAAAAAGGGAAATATCACGAGACTTTTGTCTTTCCTTAATTTAGTCTTGGAATACTGCAATAGGTGCTTAAATTGGATCCTGTAAGGACGCATTTTTCCCCCTTAAAAAATCAAGTCTAGTTTGAAGTTATGATAATAACGCGTCTGACATGTCCAACTGTCCAGGAGATTCATATCAAATCCGATTTGTTGTTGCTCATTTAAGAACCCATTTGTCAAATAAAATATTTACGAAATAATTTTGCCCCGAATTTATTCTTAAATGTTATAAGTTTGATTATGGCTTGACTTATCCCAGCACTTTCATTGTCAGAACATCAGAGGAAAATCGTCCATAATAGCTCAGCTGCTTGGATTTGAGACCACTGCTTAAAAACCGGAAATTCCGTGCCATAATCCACGAATCATGAGGAGGCTACATCTAATTTACTATTTGATTGCCCAATTAATCTGTTTGGTGCAGGCATTGGTACCAAAGACGGATAAGAAACACACGTCAAGAATGTGTGACTTGTGGGCTAGGATGGAAAAACTATGGATTTGCATATTTGTGGCATTGATCTCTGAGAAAGAATTTAATTTCTCTCCAGGTATCAATTTTTTAATAGTTTCTTCTCAGGTTTTAAGCTTTGTTAAAATTATTATTACAGGTACGTGGATAAGTCAGAAGAAGCCAAGTCTGGAGGTATTTGGCCAGTTAAATAGTCGCATCAATTTAATTGTCCACCCGTAGCGACCCCCTTAACCTTCCCCCCTTCCATAACGTGGCAGTGGACCGTTCAATTTCCCAGCAAATTACAAAGACTCCGAGAGTGGAAGAAATGACGTTCAATTTACTCTCGTCCTGCACTAGGAAGATGGAATTTTGGCTGACCCACCCAGTGAGTCAAAGAGGCGCGCCACTGTTGCCTCCATTGGGGGCGAGGGAGTATTTTTACCCTATTTCATTCACTCATAGTGTTATTAGTTGTCATGACAACCAAAGTTTAATAAGATATAGCAATCCAGGACAAAAATACAGGAACTTTTCTAGTTGACGTCATGGCTTCATAGGGAACTAGCATTTAATTTTTTGTCTGTTGTGGGAAAACTAAAACAGTTGAGAAACTAGTTCATTTATGTGAAGGTAGTTTCTTAAACTTCCAAGGAAATATGAGACTTTTTAAAGTGTTTTTTGTTCTAAGCAGAATCATTACTATGCCAATGTTGCAATTGGTAAAGGAATGGATTTCAATACGACTGCTTTTGCGATAGGGACAAGTGAAGTGAATAAACGGCTCGATTGTTCTGATTGCGAGTAAATTAAAGTACTAATTTCCCTTTTAAAATATTTACCAATCTTTTCTAAGACAAACGACTTTTTGGTTGAGAAAAGTCAATCACCTCAACTCAGATGCTGTAGTATTCCAACGATAATACCAACACATGCACTAACAAATGCAGACCAATTTCAGTGGTACTTAAAAATCCCTTTCTAATGAAGTCATTCTCAGGTCTAGAACATCTTGCATCGACTGTTTTAGTAAAAGGATAAACCTGTCGTCACGTATTTGTGACGTCTGGCTCAGAAGGTCAACGCGCCAAAGCATGCTTACTCTGATAGAATGTATGGGTACATTTAAATTTTCTTAGCTTTATATACTTACACATCCTTACTTTTGCCAACTTTTCCCCCAATTACCTGTTTTTGCCCTGTCATCTTTTGTCTCAATTGACAGCCAGGGTTAAAAGCTTAAGTCCATGAGGCGAATGTGTTTATCCCAGAAAAACCTTATTCACCGTCTCATTAGTATATATAGAAAGATCCTTGGTCAATACTACGGTTTAATTTGGGATAATTCACATTGCCTTTTTAAAAGAACTACAAGTTTACGCATAAAACTACCTTGCAGGAAACATCTTCGGATATCATTGGGTCTGTAAAGCGCTACTAAAGTAATTAGCTTAAAAATTTGCAAAACCATTCAAAGGATGACTAACAAGTAAACGGTGAAAGCTATGCTAATCCTTCTTTGAAATGCCTTTCCGTCCCAAAATGGGCTGGCACCAATAGTCAGCTCAAACTGGTGTGCTCATCGACAGGTAATAAGTAGTATTTCCGCCTATTCGTAGTAAGATAAGAAAATTGCACATGTAAAAAGTCTGGCTTCTAGTCTGTAAGTAGAGTAAAAGCCAATAACTGTAAGTTTCGTCGAGGCTCTGAAAGCTCTTAATGCTCATTTTCAAGGTGTCAAAAAAGGCGAATTGAAAAGCAGCGCCAACTCTACTGGAAGAAGCAGCATTTGAAGCTCTTTTTCCGATGTGATCAAAATAAATACTTCTAGCACTAAAAAAGTCTGACGTCGATTTGTCTTCAGCACAGATTGAGTTATAGGCGATTTCACTAACGCTGCCACTACTTTTATTTCAAGCGATTCCAACTGCTATTTTTTAATGACTTCAACGCTGAAGATCTTTTGGGC